GCCTGTTTACTGGCCTAAGTCTAAACAATTCCACCTCCAAGGCTCTAGATACAGCTCGGGTCCATAGGATTTTTTTTTTTCATCCATTATATTGTCCGCCAGGCAAAATTTGCAAGTCAGATCGATTCGAAAAGTAGCAGCACACCTCTCCACAACAAGCCGCATGATTTGAGCGGTCATTCATCTCAATAATTATGTTTAGGGGTTGTTTGAATCCTTAATCCTAAATATGAGCAACGAGGTTGGACATGATTTTTCATTCTTTCATTTGAAGCATTTCACAGTGGCTACAGGTTGTAGTTGTATACAGCTATGCAACATACGTAAATATTAAGTGCTAGTGCTCACCTTTGATGGAGTTAGATGGATATTTACAGCGCGGGTGTTGAGTGCAGTGGCCATGAGAGTCCAGACGGCATTGATTAAGCTATTTGAAATGATAATTACCTGTAAATGGCTAAGCACAGGAATTTGGCAGCCACTCCATCTCTGGCAGCATTGCTTTTTCTGTAGAATCTGGAGGAGGAGAGCCAGAGGAATAAACAGTGAACACAAGATAAGGAACAGGTCAACAAAGCACCGGTCTCAGCACATTGGTAATGGAGAGCTGCATGAAGAAATAAATTGTGGTACAACATGCCACATTTACTCAAGAGATGAGAAACTGTGTGGGCTGTTGTCTGTATGTCCACTGGAAAGACTTGCTTTGAAAATGACATCCAGTCGCTGCTTATTATACTGTTATTGGGCATATGTTGTTCTATGTATCTATCTAGTTGTGTGTTTGTGCAAATGTGAGCTGGGGCTCTTGGGAGTTGTAGTTGTCATGAGTGTTTGTCTAAAGGGAGCAGCTGCCACTGACAGTTTTAGTTCTGGATGAACAGGTGTGCAATTCCCTAGCAACTACTCGAACTCTTCAGCAACTGCCTAGCAACCACACCATGAGAACTGCCTAGCAACACCTTAGCAACCGAGGTAGGTTGAAGGAGATGGACAGGATGGCTTGGCTTACAGGCCTTAGTCATGAAGCACCAAATACATTTTGACAGGAATGAAAACGAGGCTGTGAGGGGAAGAAGTACAGTGTATTCAACATTGGGCGTTCAACAACATGCCAGTTGCTCAGCTGATGAAACATCTTTCTAAACACCTTTCAGTAGACAAAAACTCCATTCAAAAACTCCATTCGTTTTCATCCATGTAAAATTCAATATGGTGCATATCCTGACTAGGTCTATTTGATAGAGTTGTATGTTATTCAAATATTATATATATTTATATCTTGACCATGATTAAGTATTTCATATCTTTCACCTAAATATTAATCGATGTCTAGGACAAACAATTGGCATATGAAAGAGATCTCATTTGTGGGAAATTTTCCCTTTCAAAATCATGCATTATTTATCAGTCATCTGTCATATTTTCCGTAGATCGAACGATTACTACGCAGCTTATGGCTATTAACGTGCGCTTTCGCACTAGAGCTTTTGGAGTGGACACGAGTCCATCTGACTTCAAAGTTTAATTTGTTTTAGTAGCGCAAAAAAGGTTTCATGAACCCGAGTCTGCTGAGTTCGTATGAACTAACACAAAAATGCTGCAGTTCATGAATCAAAAGCACAACACGAAGACCTGCAGGGGTGGAATCAAACTCAATAGCCGTACTATTACAGGATGTCCATATGCTGTTCTCCCATGAAAAGGTAGCTGGTGTAGCAGTGCTGATGAATGACCAAAGAAGTCTTGCTGGTTTTGCTAATCAAGAAACCTTGTTGGAACACCAGCAACCCATTCTGGGAACCTCCAACCAAACCACAACATACTGAATGCTGGTGACCGTTAATCATTAGACGATCATGAAGGAATACCTAAAAAAACAACCACATGCTCCCAGCTACCTTTTCAGCCTTTTTCAAGATGTCCACACATCAAGACATCATGTTTACATTTCTGTTTAGAAGTGTAGTGATGTATTCCAGCCTATAAAGTGCATCCTCCGTTTGGCTTGGGCATCCTCCAGATTTCAAAGACATGCCAAACACACCATCTGTCAGCATTCAAAATCCCCATCCATCTACACCTCATTTATTATTCACAGAAGTACTGGCCATACTAAGAGGATGGATGCTGCAGTGCACTGTGGGGGCAGTTCCAGGAATCCTCAATCCTGCTGGCCTCAGCAGAACTCGTGTGCTGTCGTAACATTTACATTTCAGGATATCTGCTCCAATACCTGACAGTTATTGCATGTGTATTATGGGATGCCCCTCAGAGGAAGAATGTGTTTACCAGCTAGGATATCACTAGAGGGGTAAATTGAATTTGTGTTTGTCATTTTCCATTTGTAGCTTGCTTTAAGCGTTCCTCTGATCTTGACGGTTTCATTATGTTTGCGGGAATACTCAGACTGTAATTAAATGCTGAAATCCGGAGGCCTGTATGCCAGTGTACTCACAAAAGTTGCCAAAATGAACTTTTAGCATATATTTGTGTTTAAAACGTACAGTTTGTCTCTTCCAGAAAACATTGAACACAGTATCTGCTGCTCAGGGTTGTATACCACTCCGTTCTCTATAAATAAGAATGACCCCTCTCTTTAATACTGCATTTCATCCAAATGTAGGATACCCCTATGTTTGACTATGTGTGACCATTATGATGTTCTATTGCCTGATGCTTGTGTAAAGAAACTAGATGACAGCGCTATTGTTTCTGTAGTGCACTCGGACATCTCCTAGCAACAAAACTGCAGAGGTGCATCTGTTCAGCAGGTGTACTATTATCAGCAGGAAAGATTATTTACCGTGTTTTAAACACCTGTTCATGCAAACGTTTGCCGAAAAGGGTTATATAATCATGCAATGTAGGAACTTGGACTAATTTCATTTTCTTAAAAGTGAATGTTCATCATTAACTGATGTCATACACCTGCAACTTGTAGATTTCTGCATAATTTCCCAAGTTGAAAGTCTGAGTTAAAGTGGAGTTAAATCACACTTTCCACAAAGTGGTACACAACGTGTCACACTGGTGTGAAGATCTGGTTTCGGCTTTGCTTCGTTGGCAGCTGCGGTGTGAATTATTGTAGAGCTAGAATGTTGTTGTGTTTTTTTCCTCAGGAGTGCAACTACAAGTCAACCCACTTAAGTAGACTTCAGCTTAAGTCTACACTTAAGTAGACTTCGGTGTACTGAATTGTTAGGGATTGTAACACCTAGTCCTATAAAGAAAATCTACAATGTCCAAGTATATTCAGAATGGAATGCAGCATAATATCAACTGCAACTAACTAGCATTTATAAAATTATGGTTTACTAGGTTCTGATAAAGAAAAAGCCTTTTGGCTATGTAAAAAAGGACAATTCCTTGATATATGTATATAGAGGAAATATGTCAAAAAGGGAAGATCATGGGATCTTTAGTTGCACAGAGGACTACTCTGTAGTATATCAGCACACCAGAAGGAAATATATATATATATATATATATATGCATGTAAGGTTGAGATTGCATTCTGTGATCATCTGCAAATGATAATGCTACAGTTCCCAATAAGGCTCCACCTTCTGTGTCCCAGATTGACTGTCATCTGCCTGAGCAGGTGCAACTGTCGACTGTGTTTATAATGAAGGTCCTTTGTGAAGGCCTTAATCTTAGCTTCAGCTATCTGTTGCGTTGTGTAATAACAAAGTTGGGGGCTGGGGATCCTCTTTGCCATTTGACCTTCCTTTCAAGTGCTTAGTAGCTGCTAACCCTCTGCAGTGTTATGCAAAGGACTTCAGTAATGACTCTTAGGCAAAATCTTTTCAAAATGTCTTTTTGTTCAAGATGTTGACGAGAGCATGTGAATGACAATCACAGTTGGTGTCATTTAGGGGTAAGTAAATCCGAAAGATGATGCCTCAGTAATAGACTGCCAGTAAACAATACTCATTCAAAATTTTGGTTATCAACGGGCTGATAGAAACCTGTCTATGGTTGACTTACTGGTGGAAGTCATTTGATGCACTGATGAAGTAAAACGTTTTTCTGAAAGGAAAAAGTGCTGGTGGGACTGATGACATAATATGATGAGTTGAACAATGCAATTAATCAAACTTGTGTAGCTAGAAGCGTTTGCATACTTTCATGGCCTAATACTTTCAATAAGCAAAAAAAAAAAAAAGGTCCCACTTTATAATACCTGTGTACTTACATAGTAACTAGATGTGTACATAGTATGTAACCACAGTGTAAGTACACATTGGTACATAGTATCTACAGCTCTAATGTTTGTGTAACTACACATATGTAACAACCCACTGAATGGTATGTGTAAGTACAAATGTGTAACAGGACATTGGTAACAACACTTTTTGGTAATTAAATTATAAATGTGTAACAGGACTAACAGCACTTTTTGGTAAAGAAAGTGTTAGACTTTATATTAGATTTATCATGTAATTAAAAACCTACCCATCTCCACCCCCTGGATCCCATTTCCACCCCTAAACCTACCCATCTCCACCCCCTGGATCAAATGGTTCCAATTACTCTGAATTGTATTGTTGTTACAAAATGTAGTTATATAATTGCTGTTATACGAGTACTTAGTGAAGTGAAAAAATGTGTTGTTACCAATGTCCTGTTACACATTTGTACTTACACAAACCATCCTGAGGGATTTTACTTGCGTGTAGTTACAGAAATATTACAGCTGTAGATACTATGTACCAATGTGTACTTACACTGCTGTTACATACTACGTACACATTTAGTTACTATGCAAGTACACAGGTATTAGGGACACTTAAAATAAAGTGGGACCCAGAAAATAGATTCATGTTTTTGGAACTTGCTTGGAAAGAGCTGTTCCCTTGTAAATTGATTTCCCACATTAATACATGACCTGACCTTGTCTTGGCGTGACATTTAAAAGAGCATGTTGCGATCTTGCAAGTAGGCCATTAGCTCTGTGTCAGCGACAGGATAATCAGGAATGCATTAAAAGCCAAGCAATGTTAACCTCTACCGCTCTCTTTTTTCCTCCAGGCACGAAAATGGCCTTGAAATTCTTGCGGAAGAAAACCACTAAGCTGAAGAGTTTCCTACGCGAGTACAGCATCTCTCTCTACCTGTCACCTTGTCCTTTCATCATCAACATGTTTGGCATTGCCTTCGAAACTGACGAATATTACATCTTCGCTCAAGAGTATGCACTGGCAGGCGATCTCTTTGACATCATTCCTCCCCAGGTGAGAGAACGAGAACGAGAAACGTTACTTATTAGATATATTCATATTGTGCTACTTTGCACATATGCTTATGCCGTGCTTTGAGTCCAAAAAGAAAGCATTAAAATGATTCTGTTCTAAACTGAAAACTAGGTTGTAACATTGTGGGTGGTTGCCAGGGTGTAGCTAGGTCATCCCAGGCTCACTAAAAATACGTGCTTGTGGCGAAGTTTCTGCAACACAATATTGCACGTTTCGCAGCAGTTTAAAAGTGAAATGTCCAGTGAGTGGCGTTAAAACGTGCATTCAATATGGGATTGTGGCCATGTTTTTATTACGTTGCTTCAGGCACATATTGTGGCAGCTCAGAAATCAAATGTCCGGGGAGGGATGCTGAAAGGTACTCCTCTATCGTGTTGGAAAATAGCATATCCCCAACACCAAACCCAACCCTAAATCTACGCCATAGTGTCAAATGGGTCATCGGATGCTACATGCACTTTTACAAGTTGTTTGAACTGAAATGTGTGTTGGCAGTGTGTGTACACAACCACTCTATAATGATAAAAATCCACCCAGTGTTTTTTTTTTTTATCTACTAAAATCTTTACCCCTTTCTCAAATCGAGCCGTTCTCAGATGCCTGTCTGTGTGACGTCACAAAAACAGGCCCCTCCCACGATAGTTTGATTAACAGCGTTTCAGCACAGACTGGACTGGTGTCTTACCTTAGCTCCGCCCTGAGTGACTGTCATCAGTCCGCCATTGTTTCACCGCCGGAGCAGATGTAGACAAGAATGACTCCTAAGTGATTGAGGTGTTCTGTTGTTGGATGTAATAATGAACACAGCAGTCGTCATTTACTCCCGACATCTGAGCCGCTGAAGACGCAGTGGATTACGTTTGTTTCTGAAGGGAATGCGCCCCCGATCTACCTAAATTTTTCTATGTTCGCGCGAATCATTCGTGATCCAGCTTCATCTCTAGAAGAGTAAAAGGTTTTGTAATGAATCTTTGCAAATCGCCTTTCCTAATAATGTGCTAATTAGCAAGTTTCCCAATAAATGCGGCTAAAGTAAACAATCCCTCAGAGAGGGGCGTGGTCAACACAGCTCATTAACATTTAAAGGAAAATGCTTCAAAAACAGCTTGATCTGAAACGAGCTGTTTTTGACAGCTGATGCAACCGTGCTATTTTAACTTCCTTCTGCATGGGTTTGAACTGTTTTGTCGATCCATAGTTTCACGGGGTTCGTACCGGAGTGCTTCACTTCACAAGTGCAAAGCCGTATCACATGAATTACCGGACAAACCCATACATATGAAGTTGCATATGTGACACTAACAATTCAAAAGTATTACTTTTCAAATCTTGCAGCATGTTAAAATATTTTGAAGTCATAACATAATATTGTGCAGGGTATTGTGCGAAAATTAGGCTTTCCTAATCGAAACTCTGGCCCTGTAAATCATAACTTGTCTGCCTCGAGTGCTCATTTCAACTGGACAGTGCAGCAATTCATACATATTTTTTTTTAATCTTGCAGAAACGTAGGTAGAGGCACATATTTCCAATGAGCCTGGTTGTTTGCTAGGTAGTTGCTACAGTGTTTGATTTAAGTCAAAAGACAATTCTAGTGATCTGGTTTCCGAAACTCGCCAGTACTGTCCCACGAGCCTGAGGTCTTGCTTTCCCACCGCAGGCACACCTCTCAATGCATCTGCTCTGTTCAGTGAGTGCCTGAGAGGAGCGGCGTATTCAGTTGAGGATGTGCACTGTGTTCATCACACGGAAATAACCGAGGACTTTATGTTCCCTGCAAACTTGTTGCTGCATTACCTTCATTTGATGGCGTTCAGGTTTTCAGTTGCGGGGGCTCATTATGCCTCAGATTTGGCCGTCTGTGAGAATTATGATAGCATCCATTATGTAGCCACATGGTATTTCGTCGTAGCATCTAATTCCGTATGCTTTCCGCTCTCCTGTGCATAGGTTGGACTGCCGGAGAACGTTGCCAAGCGGTGTGTGCACCAGGTGGCGATTGCACTGGATTACCTGCACTGCAAGAAGCTGGTGCATCGTGACATAAAGCCGGAGAACGTCCTCATCTTTGATAAGGAGTGCCGGAAGGTGAAACTCTCAGACTTTGGCATGACGCGGTGCGCTGGCTCTCCAGTGAAGCGGGTGAGCGGAACCATCCCATACACCGCTCCAGAACTGTGCGACCCCAGCCGGCAAGAGGGACTGTGTGTAGACTACAGCACTGATGTGTGGGCCTTTGGTGTACTTCTGTTCTGCATGCTCACTGGGAATTTCCCCTGGGAAAAAGCACTCCCGACTGACGCCTTCTATGAGGAGTTTGTGCGCTGGCAGCATCGGCGGAGGCGAACCAGTGCGGTGCCTTCACAGTGGCGCCATTTCACTGACGAGGTGCTCTGCATGTTCCGCTGCCTGCTGACCATCGAGCCGAACCGCCGATGCTCTGTCAAAGAGGTCTTCAGCTACTTCAACCACTGCTGGATGCTCGACACGGAGAACGGCAACACCACCCATGTCTCGGGCGGTAACCGCAACAACGGCACGGTGATGAATGGCCGTCAGGCTGAGCTTAGCTCTTCTTCCTCTGAAGAAGATGAGTTGGTTGACCGTTTGAAGCAACAGAGCTTGTCGCCTGTATATGGGGTAATTAAAGGAGGCATCGTCATGGAGCCAGTGACGGCGCACTGCTCCTCTACGTCCTCGAACAGCCCTGCTTCCTCCACTGGTGGCTACGAGCGCATCTCCCGTGACAACAATGGCAACAATGGTCGCATCCTGGTCACAACACCTATTGAAATATGCGTGTAGACAGGTCACTGGCATTGACCTACCTTGCACATGTACTTGGGATGACTAGATGACAATAAGGACACAAGTCTATGCGAAGCAAACGCGTCAGAGGAAAAGTTAGTCGCTGATGCACAAGTGCTTAGCATCCCAAGAAGAGCTGACAGCTTGAAACACTTCCTGATGACGAGTATCTCTGAGGGAACCTGTAAGACAATCACCAAAGTCTGCAGATTGTGTCTCGACCACGTTTTCCACGTATAATTAGACCAAAACGAAAGCAGTTTACATGGGAAACTTTAGAAGAATAGAAAGAAAGAAAAAAACTCTTGTGTGAAAATATGAAGCAATATGTTGATTTTTGTTTTTGTGAAAACGAGTCAAAAAAAAGTTTTAAAAATGTGATTTGGAACAATGAAAATCTGTATAATATCTTGTATTTGGATCATTAATTACATATAAAAAATGTTACCAGCTGCTAAACCTGGTATACTTTGTGTTTAGATGTAATAAAATGCCAGTAAAGTGGAATGTACCCTGTTCCACAACGAGTCTTGCGCAATTTAAAAAAATATTTTTTTCATATTTTTATTTCATATTTATACATTTTATTATGACATTTGTTCAATTTCATACTCTTGTTTGAAGAAAGGTAGCAAAAGAAGTTCATTTGTTGGAATTGTTTTGATCTTGTGTTATTAAAATGCGAAAATAAAAGTGTGGACAATGTTTGAAAGGGCATTTTGCATGGATATAACAAAACCAATGTAAGGAGATGGTATCTGTGCTACTTTTTTGAATTGTGACAATTAAAAGTTACAGTGGAGTCAAAAAGGACAATGTGCAAATTAAAAAAACAAAACAAAAAAAAGGTTTGAAGTTTTTTAATTCTTCATGTGCAGAATATGGACCTTATATGGCCGGCCAGCAGTGATGGGGCAGTACAAAACATATTGATGCGCTCGTAGACAATAACCACGAAGAAGCTGAAAGACATTTTAACCCTGCAAAATGTGTGAATAAACAAGTCGAATGTGAAAATATTTCTTTAAAGGACAAAAGCAAAAACAGACCTTTTTACGTGTTGTGTGTTTTCCAGAAATATTTGCATGAATCAACATTGCTCTGGAGAAACATTGTAGAAATAAACACTAAAAGTACTGAACGATGTGGCTTTTGTGTCTTTTCTGAAGCAATGTTCCAACTGGTTTTCACATATGGATCATCCTATATTCTCGGCTAAGATTCCGGTTTTGAATTATTATTTTTTTTTTTAAATGCTCCAATGCAAACTCCAATGCAATATCTTTTACATGCCCTACCATATTAATCTGACTTATCATACTGTTCCTGATATCTGAGGGCATTTCACGCTTGTTACCAGTCAAAAATCTTTAAAATTACCTTTTAGGTGTTTAGGTGCTAATTAGGTGTCACAGATACATGGGTTTTCACATATGGATCATCCTATATTCTCGGCTAAGATTCCGGTTTTGAATTATTATTTTTTTTTTTAAATGCTCCAATGCAAACTCCAATGCAATATCTTTTACATGCCCTACCATATTAATCTGACTTATCATACTGTTCCTGATATCTGAGGGCATTTCACGCTTGTTACCAGTCAAAAATCTTTAAAATTACCTTTTAGGTGTTTAGGTGCTAATTAGGTGTCACAGATACATGTCTACTGGAAAAGAGGTTCTATTTTAATTTATTTTAAATTATTTTTAAAAAAGCAATATTTGAATTCATGACCAATGCAGTTGTTGATTTCTGTACACCAGAAGTTGTATAATAATAATAAGTTTAATCAACATTGCTCTGGAGAAACATTGTAGAAATAAACACTAAAAGTACTGAACGATGTGGCTTTTGTGTCTTTTCTGAAGCAATGTTCCAACTGGTTTTCACATATGGATCATCCTATATTCTCGGCTAAGATTCCGGTTTTGAATTATTATTTTTTTTTTTAAATGCTCCAATGCAAACTCCAATGCAATATCTTTTACATGCCCTACCATATTAATCTGACTTATCATACTGTTCCTGATATCTGAGGGCATTTCACGCTTGTTACCAGTCAAAAATCTTTAAAATTACCTTTTAGGTGTTTAGGTGCTAATTAGGTGTCACAGATACATGTCTACTGGAAAAGAGGTTCTATTTTAATTTATTTTAAATTATTTTAAAAAAAGCAATATTTGAATTCATGACCAATGCAGTTGTTGATTTCTGTACACCAGAAGTTGTATAATAATAATAATGTTTAATTTGTATAGCGCTTTTCCCAAGCTCAAGGAAGCTTCACAATGACAAAAGCAATATAAACAATACATACATAGATGGACAAGACATTTGCCAAGTCCAGGACACGAGGTCGCAGTTGCAAACCATAGTAATAATACAGACAGCCAGATACAGCAAACAGTCAGATACAGCATTAAACCATAACAGTTTAAAAAGAAACATATAATGACCAGTAATATTGGTTGAACAGATAAGTTTTGAGTTGAGACTTAAATTCATGCAGTGTGGTTATTGACCGAAGACACAGGGGCAATGAGTTCCAAAGTTTAGGAGCCATAACAGAGAAAGATCTCCCTCCCATGAAAGGCAAGATCTCGGAACACAAAGGAGTTCCCCTCCAGATGATCGAAGTAGACGAGAGGGAATATATGGAGAAAGTAGGTCAGAGAGATAAGTAGGTACAAGACCGTGGAGTGACTTAAAGGTAAGCAGAAGAATTTTATAAGTGATACGAGAGGACATAGGTAGTCAGTGGAGGTTAAATAGAATAGGAATGATATGAGCAGACTGTTTAGTGTACGTTAACATTTTTGCAGCAGAATTTTGAATATATTGCAAACGGGAGATGGAGCGTACTGGTAATCCAGAAAAAAGAGCGTTACAGTAGTCAAGGCGAGATGTGATAAATGCATGTACTAGTGATTCAGCATCTTTTGGGCTCATGAAGGAACGGAGTTTGGCAATATGCCGAAGTTGAAAAAAATGCAGCTTTGGAGAGTTTACTAATATAAGCATCTAGATTTAGTGGAGTCAAGAGTGAAATCTAAGTTTTTGATGGTGGCAGTTGGAAAAATTGATGTAGCTTCAAGGTCAATTCTAGGGGGATTAGTTATGTTTTTTGTTGCAGTTGGGGGACCGACAAGTAAAATTTCTGTTTTTGTCAAATTCAAGCTGAGAGAGTTGGAGCTAAGCCAGGTTTTTAACTCATTGACACATGACAATAAAGTAGTGGTCTGGTGAATAGAGTCAGGTCGGCAAGAAGCATATATCTGAATACCATCGGCAAGCAGTGGTACTGAAAACCAATGGCGGCGAATAATTTGTCCGAGGGGCATAATATAAATGATAAATAATAATGGCCCTAGAACTGAGCCCTGTGGCACACCCTGATTAAGAGGGAGAGTGGAAGATTTGTAGTTATGCATGGTGATGAAGTATTGTCTGTCCGTCAAACAGGAGGAAATCCAGGCTAACGCAGCTCCTGAGATGCCAATCAGACAAGACAGACAGTGTCAAAAGCTGAGCTAAGGTCGAGTAATAAGAGTATGGAAAGGTTGCCCGAATCACCAGAAAGAAGGAGGTCATTTATAACCCTTACTAGAGCAGTTTCAGTACTGTGTTGCGAAGGAAAACCTGACTGAAATATATCAAAGTGTTTATTGTGAGCTAGAAATGACTGCAACTGAGTGGCAATGACCTTTTCCATGATTTTTTTAAACAAACGGTAGGTTGGAAATTGGGCGATAATTAGCATAGTCAGCTGGGTCCAGAGTTGGCTTTTTGAGAATAGGAGTAACAGCAGCAGTTTTGAGTGATACTGGAACAGTGGCAGAGATAAGAGACGTGTTTACAAGATGTGAGATAGGACCAGAAATAACAGAGGTGCAGTGTTTTAAAAAGGAATGTTGGTGCAGGGTCAACACGGCCCGAAGAAGAATTGGATTTCAGTATTATTTCATTAATTAGGGTGGGGTTTGTCAAGGAGAAGCTATCGAGCATTTGAATAGGCCGAGCTAGCTCACAAGTAGAAGTGGTCAGTTCTGCACCAAATGTCCCACATAAAGCATCAAGCTTAGTCTGAAAATAGCGTAAAAAAGAACAGCACAAGTCGTCAGATTCTCGCAGAGAGGCATTATGCATGGGAGCCTGAGCTAGCCTGTTCACCATGCTTACCCGAAAATGTTAAGCATAGTTAGTTTGGCATGTTACCCTTTTTTCATAAATTTTTTAGGCAAAACCCCTCTTTCTGCATTGATTCCATTAAAACGTTGCAATTAATTCTGTCTAAGTACATCTGTTTTGAAACAGCAGTGTCCATGAGTAAAGATGGCAGTAACTGCCATTGAAATGAACGGAAAAGCTATTGGATAGCTCTCTACAGGTAATGTAGACTCTTTTAATAAATAAAGTAAAAATGTATTAGTTAAGTAAATATTTGGTTACACTTTATTTTAAGGTGTCCTTGTTACAGTGTAATTATACATATAAGTACTGAGTAATATTAATGAACTACATGTACTTACTATATGGTTAGGGTTAGGATTTGGGTTTGGTGTAGGGTAAGTTATTGTCATTATAATAGTACGTACATGTAACGTGTAACAAGGACACCTTAAAATAAAGTGTTACCAAATGTTTGCATATTTTATGTTATTTAAATAAATCAAACAATCACTTAAATCTAATCCACATTTAAAAATTTGAAAACGCAGTATTTGTTTGAAAACGTTCTCCGTCTACACTAGCATTTTTTAAAGCATTTTCCAAAAGTTGTTCGTCCACACTGACACGTCTGAAAACGTGAAAAAGTTCTCATGTTATTCTTCTGGTAGATAATTTTATTAGCAAAATATCCAACATCCAGGTTTGGTCTAAAATGCAACTGTCTAAATCTTTTGCCGAAGGACAGCAATTTTGAGTAAATGTCTTTGCAGAAATGTAATTGAAAGATTGTATACACGCTAACACCTATATACACTATGAAAGTCAATAGCGGGCACAACAATACCAGTACAACCACAGAGATATATATATATACAGGTACAATATGCGTTATATGACTAAACATGCATCGCCGTTTTCAAATACCTCAGTTTTCACAGTCCAGACTACAACGTGGTAATCTACTTGGGATAGCATCTTTGTCGCTGGACAAAAACACTGTCTCAGTGTGGATGAAAGGTCAAAACAGAGAGTAAAAAGTTTTTGATAATCCATGAAACTCCACCTATGTATTAAACAGGGATCAGAGAGCTGGTGAAGACTAGGGCAAGTGCTGACCATATACAAATTAAAGTCACAGAAGTGAGCTGACTCATT